TTTATAGGAAACTGTTTTACATCAAATTCAGGAAGTTTGAACCGCAAAAAGTATAAAATTATCGAAAATAAAAACATCACTTTGTTTACTTCCATCAATGACATTAATGACGCGTTGTGATTGGTTGTCTTAAAATAGATTATCGGGACACCTGATGGTGACTTGATCACTAGCGAGATGGACACTTCTGGCTATATGTACTTATTGAATACTCGGCTATTGTTAAATAAGTCATAACTTCTTGAGATCATGCGACATAAATCTATACTGATTTTCTCCAACAAGAAACTGAGAAAATAGAATGATCTAGAACACAAGAAATTCCACACTGACACAATCACAGTTAAATTATGAAAAAAAAACAATTCAAACGTTTTGAAGCTCACTTTTAGCACATTTTAAACATTGTAAACTTGACATTTCTGGAAATCAGATGACTATTGATAACAAAGGCATGAATTTTAATTTCCTAATCTTTTAGGCTGCGAAGAGACATCAATCGGTGTGGAAGCCAGGGGAATCATTCCAGATAGTAGCTTTACTGCATCGTCTACATATAGATATAAAGGATACAAGCCATATTTTGCAAGGATTGGTGATACACGAGATGGCCATGGTTGGTGTYCAGGCAGCCCAGGAAAAAATATCCGCCATTATCTGCAAATTGATCTTGGAGCTGAGTACGTTGTGTGCGCCATTGCTACAAAGGAAGKCGGTGCATATGCTAAAACATACGTAATAACCATGTCAAAGGAYAACCGAWCCTGGACAGATTACAAAGAGAACGGGAGAATAAAGGTACATGATAAAATACTGATCAATGCAGAATACAACTCTTAATTGGAAGAAGGATGTTTACGTGCGGTAATAAAAGGAAATCTTGTCCCATTTTCCATTCCAGCTCTTAGTTCCTTCCAATGCGCAAGCAAAGCAATATATATGTTTGCTTATGTGAGTGTGATTTTCTTGTTTGTTCGCAGCTTGTCTGTAATTTTTTATTATTATTATTATTATTATTATTATTATTATTATTATTATTATTATTATTATTATTATTATTATTATTATTATT